AAGAGGTAAACATAAGTTTGTGTGACTGACTGACTGAATGACTTGACTGACTGACAACAACTTGACTGATTTAACCCTTTCAGGGTCCAAGGCCCAAATCTGGAGTCACGCACCAGTGTCCAAGAATTTAAAAAAAAAAAAATTGTTATTTTTTCTTATGAAATCATAGAGAATCTTTTTGTGAAGGTAATAAAACAAAAAGTACGAAATTTGGTGGAAAATTGACGAAATTATGCTCTCGCGAATTTTGATGTGTCAGCGATATTTACGAATCGGCGATTTTTGCCGACTTTGACTCCCATTTTAGGCCAATTACATTATTCCAATCAACCAAATTCTTAGCTATTTCACTAGTATTACTTCTATTCTATCGATTAAGCACAAGAAATCGCCAAGTCAACTGTTTCAACTACAAAATAAAGTGATCGGAAATTGTTAATTTGGCCAATTTAACACAAAGTTCAAAATATTCCAATTTCAAAATAGGGTCCAGAATGAACAATGTAGGCATTCCTGGCACTAAACTAACATTTCCTCTGTTCATTAGTTATGTTTTGAGGCTTTACAAATAAATTCCATTTTGATTTTTTATTCACATAATGAATTTTTATTCACACCAAAAAATAGAAGATTTACTGTTATGCAATACTGTAATAATTGTATAAATATCATCAACATACTTGTGAATGTATATTAGACCCACCAGCTGGCGTGTATTAGACGTGTGAGGTCGTTTGTTTACTCTTGAATATCGGCAAAAATTTAACATTTCTGCTACTTTGAGCTCAGTTTCAAGCCATTTCCAGTGCTAAAACCAATCAAAATCATCTCTATTTCTGTAATATGTCTTCCATTCTATCAAATGAGACCAAGAAATCGCAAATACAACTATAAAAAACATACGAAAAAACACTGCAAAGTTGCTGTTTTAATCGAAAAATCATGATTTCATTTTTTTTCTCTCATTATACACAGTGTGCTGCAGGATCTGTTTTATGTGGTGCACACATACCACATAGATGTATTCTCTCATATCTAGGCCCAAATGTACCACTCACAGTTTATCAGAGTGAGCTGAGCTCATGGCGTAGATCTACGGTTTGGACCCTGAACGTAAAGCCGTAGATCTACGGGACGGACCCTGAAAGGGTTAATGAACAACTTGACTGACATACTGAACGACTTGACTGACATACTGAACGACTTGACTGACTTACTGAATGACTTGACTGACTTGATGAACGACTTGACTGACTTACTGAATGACTTGACTGACTTACTGGACAACTTGACTGGCATACTGAACAACTTGATTGACTTACTGAATGACACGACTGAGTTACTGAATGATTTGACTGACTTATTGAATGACTTGACTGACATACTGAACAACTTGATTGACTTACTGAATGACACGACTGAGTTACTGAATGATTTGACTGACTTACTGAATGACTTGACTGACTGAATGATTAGACTGACTTACTGAATGACTTGACTGGACAACTTGACTGAATGACTTAGACACTCCAGTACAACCATCGACTTAGTACCAGAACCTCTACCATCCACCTCAGCCCAGTAGGACCACAGCATAACTCTCCACTCTCTTCACAAACTTCCAGAAAAACCAGCACCCACAATTTCATGTAAGAAATATTATTTCTGTTACATTTGCAGTCTTAAGCAGTAAAAACAATATAATACATAACAATGAACTACAATTACATATTCACTTTTATTTTTGTAAGATGTGGAGGCCTAAAAAAAGTTGTTTGGCTTTTTTGGGGGTGTCGGGAATGTAACCTTATTTTTCCCTTAAGTTTTTTAGTTCATCTGGCATGGTTTTACCTAACACGGTGTTTTCAGGAACGTAACGTCTGTGTTAAATGACGGTCTACTGTAAATACAAAAGAATTAGACAAAATAAATGCAAATTTAACCCTTAAACTGTCGAAATGTAGATCTGCGTTCACCTGCATGGTGCTCTGAATATTTTGAAATATAAAAAAAATAATTTTTTGTTTTTAAATTAAAGAGGGCAATTTTCTGTGTGGTATAAGATCAAAAAAAAAAATTATTATCAGTACTTACCGAAATATGAGCACAAAGTTGTCTCTGGATGCTCACATGACGGCAACATCCAGTCCTGCCGCTTGCAGAAGTGTTGCCGATTTACCTTTTTTTCTCGTTTTTATTTTAATTTATATAATTTTTATGTAATTACAATTTATAATACAGTGGAACCTCAAAAATCGAACTGCTCCCAACACAACCAATTATGTAAGTGTATTTTTGTAAGTGCTTTTATAAGTGTATTTTTGAGGGTCTGAAATGGACTAGTCTAATGTACATTATTCCTGATGGGAATAAATTCATTCGGTAAAGGCACTCAAACAGCCTTCTGGACTGAAGAAAGTTTGATATTTGAGGTTCCACTGTAGTTCTTGTGATTTCATAGCCAATCTTTGTTCTGACATTAATAGTATGTACTGAAATAGTACTCAAATAGTAACAATCACACTGACAGGTGAACATTTTCACCTGCCTTGGTCATTTACTATTGTCTAGAAATATATACAAAGTATTTATAGGTCCCAGCAATGTCTTAGACATTCTGGAGTATGAAACTCCTTGAGGCATGGTGTTATGACAAGGGTCAGAATGTGCCCTGCTGGAGGGAACCTTGACTTCATATGTTTTTACTCTTGCACACAAACATGTCTTTGTATGTCTGTCTATCAGTCTGTCTGCCTGTCTATCTGTGCTTCTATCTGTCTATCTTTCTGGACATCTATATGTCTGCCTAGCTTTGCTTATCTGTCCAGTTCAGCTTATCTGTCTTTCCGTCTTCTGTGTGTGCCTGGAGTATAATATGAACTCCTTGAATAATGGTGTTATGACAAGCATAAGAAAACAAATGACATTTGATGAATGTGTGTTGCTGGAGGGGGCAACCTTGCCTTTGTTTTTACTTGTGCACACAAACATGTCTGTCTATACATCTGTCTATCTGTACATCTATCTGTCTAGCTCTGCTTATCTGTCTGTCTAGTTCTGCTTATCTGTCTTTATCTGCCTGTGTGTGTGCTTCCATCTGCTTGTCACTTAAAAATAACTCGGGGGGGGGGGGGGGGACCTGTCTCATGTCCCACCATTATTGTACAAGCGAGCGGCCCATATCCTTTTGCATGCTATTTCATTTCTTTTTAACAAGTCACTAGAAACTAGCACCTTCCTGAAACTACTCAAGACAGCAAGGGTTACACCAATACATAAAGGTGGTGACCCTACAGATGTAAACAACTATAGGCCAATATCAAACTTACCATTGCTATCCAAAATCTTCGAGAAACTCGTGCATAGGAGACTATTCATTTATAATGGCACAAAACATACTCAACCCCTGCCAATTTGGATTTGGGAAAAATAAAAGCACTAATGATGCAATTGTAAAAATGCTAGATCTGCTTTACACAGCATTGGAAAATAAGGAATATCCACTAGGAATTTTTGACCTAAGAAAAGCTTTTGAAACAGTAGACCACGGCATCCTACTCCACAAACTTGACCATTATGGTATAAGAGGCCATGCCTTGAATATTTCAAATCCTACCTTACTAATAGGTATCAGTATGTCACCATTAAAGACACAGCATCATCAACACGGCCACTTGATACTGGAGTTCCGCAGGGAAGTGTCCTTGGGCCCCTGCTCTTCTTCATTTACATCAATGATCTTCCAGACGTATCCCAACACTTGAAACCCATTCTCTTTGCTGACGACACAACTTACCTCATCTCTCACCCTAATCTTGCCACCCTCAACACCATTGTTAATGAGGAGCTGCTCAAAATAACAACTTGGATGACAGCCAATAAACTTACACTTAACACTGACAAAACCTACTGTATGTTTGGTAGCAGAGCAGGTGCTGCGCAACTTAACATTAAGATCGACAGCACTCTAATTGCCAGACATAATAAGGGCAAATTCCTAGGCCTATACCCCAACAACCTAAATTTCAGCACCCATATCTAACACACAACAAAAGAAGTATCCAAAACAGTTGGGATCTTCTCCAAAATACGATACTACGTGCCGCAAAATGCCCTTCTCACACTATACCATTCACTCATTTATCCATACCTCACCTATGCTATTTGTGCTTGGGGATCAACTGCAGCAATACACCTAAAGCCAATAATAACTCAACAAAAAGCTGCAGTAAGAATAATCACTAATTCCTATCCCTGGCAACACCCTCCCCCCACTCTTCATAGATCTAAACTTATTCCCTGTTCAGAACATCCACACTTAATACTGTGCAATCTACATATACAGGACCTTAAATTCCAATATTAACCTTGACCTAAAATGCTTTCTTGATAGTTGTGACAGGACCCACAGGCATAACACCAGACACAAACATCTCTACGACATTCTCCGTGTCCGACTAAACCTTTACAAAAACTCAATGTATGTCAAAGGCCATAAAATCTGGAAAACACTTCCTGAAAACTATAGAGGCAGACACATTCATCACCTTCAAAACTACCATTAGAAAACATCTTATCTCCCTGATACACCCCATCAACTAACTACATAAAAACCACTTGGTGGTCCACATTTACCCTCACTCACTCACCCATTTGACTATAAGCACAGAAATACGTATCCTAATCTTAAAATAATGATTCCTAACTAGTCATAAGTTTGCCTGTGATACTCCAATATAGAAACTATGTATTGTGCCAAAACAAAAGCATTCACATTGCTATACTCACAAACTAGTATTTGTCACTTAGTATTTAGTCACTTAGTATTTAGTCAACTTACTCACAAATTGTTATAATTTAGGGTTAAGAATTAATCTAAGTTTGCCCGAAATGCCTAGCCATGCTAGGTGTTCTAGTGGCCCCCTCTGTAATTAGTATTTTACTACATGTAAACCACACAATAACCAAAATCTGTAAACCCTGCATTGTAATCCTTATAGAGATTAAACTTGGATTTGATATGTCTGTCTCATGGAGCAGCTAGTAAACCTGTTGGTCTGTGGTTTATGGGCCGCTCCCTGATTGCTGAGCAAGTGACACTGCTATTAGTTTCATCATGTTTGTTTGTCTTATACCTACAAACACTGTATAGAACTTGGCCTGGAATTTTTGGGTTATCCTAGGTAATTTACATGATGTATAACTGTATTTATGAGTACATGTGAGAGACAGAGATAGACAAAGATACAGATAGACAGTGATACAGATATATGGATAGACAGATATATAGATAGACAGAGATACAGATATATAGATAGGCAGAGATATAGACAGATACAGATATATATAACCAGCGGCAGCAGAAGCAGCAAGCTGTCATTTTTTTTTCACCAGCCAGAGCCCATCAATGCTTCTATGATGGCCTAATTGCAATCATAACTGCACTAATGCACATAGAACCCAGCATGACCCGAGATAAACAACAGTGATACCTACAAACCGAGAAATTACCAATTGAAGTGAAGACTGCCCCTCAAAGTCCAAGCACAGCCCCGCTGCCAGATGAGTACCTACCCCAAGCTCTTAACTAATTTAGTTTCTTCACCTAACCACAGCAACTGCTGTACTACTATGAGACCAACTCATAGAAGAAACAGCACTAAGAAAGACAAGTCAGCACCTAGAAATCGACTATTCCATAAGATGACCTAGCAGGACGCCCATGCCCCATCCACCCCCATCACCAGCCAGAGAGATGCATCAACAACAACAAACATGGCCAACTCCCCTTCACCCACCAACCAAGGCGACTCGACTACAACACCAACCGTGACTGACTCCCTCTCTACATCTACTACCTTCATAGGATTTAACCCATCTGATACGCTCCCAGGTATGACTAATGATCCTGAAACTCTAAAGAATTACATCACCACCCTAATGGTGGGTAACTTGAATCTTTGTACTGAAAATATGGCTCTTCGCGCAACAATAACAAACCATGAATCTAAGTTACTTCACCTTGAGAATAAGATCAACAGCCTTGAACAACAGCTAAAATCAACTGGCATGGCTGATTTTGGCAAGACCATCCAAGCAGTTATAGCCAGTCACACAGATCAAATAACTTCCCTAAACACGAAGGTTGAAGATGCCGTCAAGGACTGGAAAATAAATGTGGATACCCAATTGAACCATTATTTTGCTTACCAAGATGATAAGGCAGAGCAAGATAAGCTAGCCAATGCAGTAGTGATTAACAGTCCACTCTTTCCTAGTGAATTAAACCATACCAACTGCAAAGCTACAACTCTTCAGATCATACAAGACCACCTACATGTTAGTGTGCCAGTGTCGGAAATACGTAAAAGAATCATGGTTACTAGGGAACCATGGGAGAAAAAGTGTTATGCTCAGATTTCACACACAAGACAGAAAAAAAGACCTAAAAAGTTCATCCATTAAAGCAAAAAAAGATATATACATAAACAAGTGTCTCACAAGAAAACGACAGAACCTCCTGTACAGAGTGAGAAAACTGAAACGTGAGAATAATGATAAAATTCACCAGTGCTTTGTACGTGAAGGACAAATTCTAGTAAGAAAAACAAATGTAGGCTGTGTGTACTATATTACAAATGAAAACGAACTAGCAAACTTCCTTCATGACGCAAACATTACAGAATCTGACTGATATTAGTGACCAAATCTTTGTACTACGTTATTGTATGTTGTTATGCCATTATTGAATTAATCCCTGTACTATCACCTCCCGGACAGTATTTACTACCTCATTATCCCATGTGTCCCACACAGTTCCTTGTGTGACTCAATTTGTGTTATCTTCCCAGATCTCCCATTCACAATTTATTATTTGATAATAAGATACTTACTCTATAATAATATTTGTATTACCAGTTATTCCTACTTAAGCACTGTTATAATTCTCTTACAATCTTACCAAATTTTCCCTTTGCTCCCAAATTACAAATAACCAACTAGTGTATGTTCCTACTACACTACTGTGCAATTCCTTGTACCATCTTTCACTAGCTAGTATCAACTATCTCAAATATAATTTTTTTTTTGTGATATTAATTGCTCAAACTTTGTTATCAGGCAAATCCTACTCAGGTTAATTTCATATCATAGTGACTATCTATACTTTAAAGGTTGTTTACCACTACTTACCTCTTCAAGGGGGGCTCCTTGGTGTGGTGAAGAGGCTCTTGGTCTGAGGAATTAGACCTGTCGGTCTCCTTCCTCAGACCGAACCTAATTACCCCCCAATCCCCTCTTCCCTATCCCATCCTCCCATTTTTCCTTTCCTCCTCCTCCTCTCCACCCCTCCCTTTTGCCCTTCCTTTTTTGGCCTTTGGAATTTTCCCACAGGCACGCTAGTTCCTAGGTAGGGGAAAGGGTACCGGGGTCCATCCCATTCTGTTGAGGTTCTTGGCAGTGGCGTAGTTTGCCGTGGAATCTGGAGCGCCTGGGGATGTCTTGATCCCTCTCTGGTATCCCGTAGGGTGGCTTTGGGTGTCTTTCAGGCAACGGGTGTATCTCTGGAAGCCACCTTTCAGATTCCAGGGGTGGTGGCTGAAGGAGGTATGCTTTGTGGCGGATATCCGGCCGCCCTCTCTTATGTCCACTGAGGTAGCTCAGCAGATGTGAGGTTGCTATCCCGGATTGCTGGTTTACTGGCATGAAGGGTAGGGTATGGCACGGGTTCCATGTTGCATCTGCGCTACTTGCGGTGCTGAGGTCCTCTTGGGCACGGAGGGAGATTTCTGGCCCTTTCATTCCTCCTAGGAACTATCCCTCCCCGGTCCCCCCCCCCTCTTTTTTTTTTCTTTTCTTTTCTTTCTTTTTTTTTTCTTAAAAACAAAAAGAAGTAACCTAACCATGGAGTCCCCAATCCATAACCCCGCTACCCTTGGGCCCCTTATTGTTACCGCATCCCGTTCTAACTTCGCCTCGTCTTTTGGCCACTCTTCAGACACTCCTAAGACCCTTGTACCTCTTGCTGGTGCTGTTACATCACCCGCTTCAGGTGCCGGGGTTTCGACTGACTCCTTCGATTTGTCTGACCTCCGTTCTCCTTTAACTATGCTTCCGGCCTCTCCCTCTACGGTGCGGCAATTTTCAGAATCGTCAGCCCGTCCCACGTCGGACCAACTCTGGTCCCACTTCTAAACACCAACGACAATCTCCTGATGACGTTACTTTGTTACCTTCCCATTCTACTCGGAAAAGACCGACACGTCATGCACTCTCTCTCCACACTCAGTTTCGGACCACACAATGGACTAAATTCTTTACTGTAAGACTTCTACTACCTATCTTTCCGACCATAGTATTGGCAAAGTGCTCCTATGCCATGTTGGTAGAGATATTTCCTTTCATGCTCTTAAGAGTGGTATGTGTATCATCACAGTCCAGAATGCTACCCAAGCTCATGATCTTTCTCTTCTTTCACATATCGATACTATCCCTATCACTTACGAAAAACATCATTCCCTCAATTCTTGTAGTGGTACTGTCATTCTGCCCCATACCATAGTCCAACAGAATTTCCAGACATGTGGCAATGACATTCTCGAACAGTTGGAACTCCAAGATCTCCCAATTCTTAAGGTAGACACTTATGTTCTTCCTGCCCGCGGATGGAGACGATACCCTTGCAATGTGGCTCGTTTAACTTTTGACAGCCGTGAGCTCCCATCCTCTGTTTATGTAGCAGGACATCGGTTACAAGTTCGAAAAGTGATTCCTACACCACAGCAGTGTAGAAATTGCTGGCGATTTGGCCACCCAGCAAAATATTGCAGATCTATAGCCGAAAGCCCAGTCTGTAGTGCTGATGACCATTCTAATACGTCTTGCAGTCGACCTCCCTCTTGCCTTAATTGTCATGAGGCTCACCCTTCGTACTCTCGCCGTTGCCAGGTCTACTTGAATGAGAGAGAAATTCGTTGCCTCAAAGAGGCAGAAGGTCTCCCTTATGCTATGGCGGTTTCTCATCTCTGCCTCCAAGGGAGACTACCCCGTGTTTCTTATTCTCGTGTTTCAAAATGTCCCCCCACTTCTGGGGTCCCATCTTCTGCAGCCTCCTGTGCGGTTGCCAGTCCCATAGTCACTCCTGTATCTAATTCTTTTGCTGTCCTGGGCTCAGACGTCCCTACTTCAACACCTCAGTCTGTTCTCACTTCTTCGTGTTCTCCCTCACAAACCCCGGTATCGACAAGACCTCATAAGACACCTCCTTCCTATCGTCCCTCTACTTCTCAGAAGTCCAAAAAATCTCCTTTAACCCCTCCTTCCCTTCATCCACCTCCACACTTACCTGGGTCTTCCCCTTTCACTGGCTCGGTTAAAAGTGTGGAGGTTCATCCTCCTCCTCGTACTGTGCCTTCCTCCCCTTTCCCCTCCCAAGTTTCTTCTTCTGCCACCTCCCAGGTTTCTGCCTCTTCTGTCCCCTCCCACACTTCTTCAGTTACCTCCACCCTTTCGCCCCCCCCCCTACCTTGACACAGTCCATTACTGTTCCGATCTTTACTCAAACTCCTCCTCCTTCCATCTCCAATATTGTCTCCCATATGACGTCTCTGAACTCCGAAACACTTGAAGCAATCTCTGAATATATTGCAGAGACCAAACCATCAATGGACACTGATCCACCCTCTGTTCCTTCTCTTTCCTCCTCTCCATCTGCGCAACTCCTTTCTTCACAGCGCACCGTTCCTTCGCTGCTTCAACGTTTTCCGCTGCCACCGCATGTGGACTTTTCTAACCCCTCTAGTCCGTAAGTACCCTTACCTGCGGATTTCTAGTATCTTTATCGTTGCCAATCATGGCCTATTTACAGTGGAATATACGCAGCCTCAGGCGTAATCGGGGTGATCTTCAGACGTTGCTCTCCCAATTTTGCCCTGTTTGTGTTTGCTTACAAGAACCAAAATTACACTCTGCTGTTATTTATCCCATCTCAGGCTATAATTTATTGTATTCTTCGGATCCTTTTCCTGATGGGACCTTTAATGAAAGTGCCCTTCTTGTACGCACTGATATTCTGTACCATCAGCTATTTGTTCGTACTTCGCTGCATTACACAGCAGCCCGTATCCACCTGCATAGGTGGTATACACACTGTTCTTTGTACCCCTCTCTCCTCAAGCATTATCTATTCCGGATATTGCCTTTCTTGTTTCGTCATTACCGCCACCACTTCTGTTACTTGGCGATTTTAATGCCCATTTTCTCTGGGGGTCTCACTGTGATTGCCGTGGCATTCAGCTAGAGGCTTTTCTTGCTTCCCACCCCCTCCATGTTGTAAATACAGGTACTCGCACCCATTTTGATCCTCGTACTCATACTCTCTCTTGAATTCAACTCTGTCTGCTCTTCCTCCGCTGCACTAGACTTCACCTGGTCTGTTCTCCCGGATTTACATGACAGCAATCATTTTCCAATCATTCTTACTTCCCCTTCATACTCACCACCTCTTCGTAACCCATGCTGGCAATTTGATCAGGCAAATTGGGACCTTTACTCACAACTAACTGTTTTTAGTGAGGTTCCTTCTTCGTCCTCCATTGATGAGCTTTTACACCTCTTCTCGTCCTCAGTTTTAACCGCAGCTTTTCATTCTATACCCCAAACCTCGGGCAGGCATTCTCAGAAATGCGTGCCTTGGTGGTCTCCTGCTTGTGGTCATGCAGTACGCTTGAAACATGCTGCGTGGGGTAGGTACCGGTATAATAGAACCACTGAGAGACTTCTTGATTTTAAGCAGAAGCATGCGATCGCTCGCCGTGTCATCTGTGATGCTAAATGCACTTGCTGGCGAGGTTGTCTCCACCATCACCTCTGCTTCCTCTGAGTGCAGTCTGGAAAAAAGTACGGAAACTGAGTGGTAAATATTCTCCTGACCCGGCTCCTGTTTTGTGGGTTGCCGGTGTTGATATAGCAAACCCTCTAGATGTTGCCATTGAAATTGGCAATCATCTGGTCCGTATTTCTCTGGGGCTCCATCTCTGCCCCTCGTTTCTCTTCTCAAAGTCTGCCAGAGAGTTAGCACCCTTGGACTTTTCTTCTCTCAGAGAAGAACAGTATAATGTGCCTTTTGCACTTCAGGAACTGGAGGCAACACTCTCAGCTTGCCGATCATCGGCAGCTGGGCCCGACGACATTCATATTTGTATGTTACAACATTTACATCAGTCAGCCCTTGCAGTTCTCTTACGCCTTTTCAATCTTATTTGTTCGCAAGGAGTTCTTCCACAGCTGTGGAAATCTGCCATTGTTCTCCCTTTCCGCAAACTGGGTACTACGGGACCAGTGCAGTTTGCAAAGTGATGGAACGTC